GCAAAGAAAAAAGGCAGGTACAGTAATACCCGACCAACATAGAAACTGGCAACATGGGTTTTCTCTTTATTTGGCATCACAGGTAAAAAAAATTGAAGAGAGTTGGCGGTCCTTATATTATGCATACTCGATGCCCTATGGCGTCTTGTCTATTCTACATTATGCTATGGATTGAACTTGGCACCGTATCAAATGAATTCTTTAAACAAGGCCTGTTTCGAAGGTTGACAATCACGTTGTGACTTGTAAATCACAACCTAAGATTGACTTAAAATTTATATTTAATCGTGCATACCTTAATCTATACATGATATAAATGGGCTTAAAAAATTAAACATTATAATTTGAAATAACAAAAAAAAACTGTAAATGAGCCGTTCAGTGCACACAGTGACTAACTCCAAAAAACAGAAAGTAGAGAACAGCGATGAAGTAATGAACATTGCTTTTAAAAATTCCTGTTATAATATAAGTTGAAAAATATATTGTAGAACGTATAATACCTATATAGCTTACATGTGACGGTATATAAGGTTTAATTACTGTTAACAGTGAGTAAATAATTATAATTCAGTTAAAGTTTTGATATGACTTGTGGAGTTAATCAAGCTGTCACTGAAAAAATAATAAACCTAATTCTTTTTATTTGTGTTAAAGCATTTCATAAAAATCGAATGTTAACTGTTGTAATATATTATTTCTGTAATATTATAAGTGCACACAGTGACTAACTCCAAAAAACAGAAAGTAGAGAACAGCGATGAAGTAATGAACATTGCTTTTAAAAATTCCTGTTATAATATAAGTTGAAAAATATATTGTAGAACGTATAAATACCTATATAGCTTACATGTGACGGTATATAAGGTTAATTACTGTTAACAGTGAGTAAATAATTATAATTCAAGTTAAAGTTTTGATATGACTTGTGGAGTTAATCAAGCTGTCAACTGAAAAAAATAATAAACCTAATTCTTTTTTATTTGTGTTAAAGCATTTTCATAAAAATAAATGTTAACTGTTGTAATATATTATTTCTGTAATATTATAAATAATATTTTCTCTATCAGCTGTATTCTATGATGATTAGAATTTCTGTCAAGTTTTGTAGTATTTATGATTAATAGGGGGAATGAATTTTAGCAAATCTTTTATGTCTTTCAATTTTCTAGTTCTAGCTTTATAATATAATTATGACTATTGTATATTATTTCAATAATTTGGTCTACCTGGTGCAGACTTTCTTATATTAATAGTTTTAAAATACGTATCTTAAATGATTGGGATTGGACCTTTCTAACTTTATCCAGCGCATTTTAAGCCAATTTACTGGATACCCTGTGATGGTTACTTTTCTGTTAGTGATTATACTTATGGCTTTGTTGATAACAAATCTTCGTGAAACATTTGGATTAGCTAAATTGGCGCTTTCCTTTTACATTTTTTTATTATATTATACCAATTATCTAGTAAAAAATATGTCTCGATTTTTTTTCGCACGTGACTTAATAATGGCAAAATCTAGAGTCAATAGGTAAATAGCTATATCCACTGACCAGAAATTTCATTTCAATTGACTTAGCTCTTATTTCCGTTCTTTAAACAAGTTTCAATAAACTTAAGACAGTTTTGCTGTTTTTGTTTTGCCGGGTACACGAATTTTAGTATGTTAATTAAACAAGTTTCAATAAACTTAAGACAGTTTTGCTGTTTTTGTTTTGCCGGGTACACGAATTTTAGTATGTTAAGTTTGTAACATCCTTGATGTTCTTTATAAAACAAGACGAATTTTGTTGATACCCTACAGTTCTTTGCCAAACAATCTTAGGGTTTACATTTTTATTAAATTCTTATCCGTAATTCATGAATTTCAAATCCGACAACCGTTCTAGCCGGAACATATTCACTACAAAATGGAAATGTCTTCTGAAATAAATGACTTATTATTCAGTGGTCAAGAAAAATATGTTTCACATCGTTAATTCACTAAAAGTTACGTTACACCAAGTAATTTCGCACTAATATCTTAGTTTTCTCAAAAAGTGGAGTTAGTCAATGTGTGCACTGAGCGGCTCATATGTAACTAACGACAAACTCAGAATAATACTTACTAGTAACAAATGAAAAGCTAGGCTGTATTTTTACAACTTTTAATAATTGCAAGTTCATAATACTTTATTTAAATATAATTTATGTACCTAAATAATAGCTTCAAGGTTCAAAATTCCTACTGGCTTTGATTTCAAAATATCTGGCATTGTTATAGGTCTGGATAGTATTTTGACAGAAATGTATTTTTTTTTCATTTTGCTCTATTTTGTGCTATAAACACAAATGTTTTAAGTTATTTTCGTTTTACCGACTAAATGCAGTACAAAATTAATTTTTACATGTCAAAACTAAGACAAGTGAAGCAAAATCAATATTGTGAGTGGACAATGAAAAATCTATTTTCAAAGAAGCAATGATTTATATAAGATTATTTTTGGCATTTCAAAACGACCATCGTAGAAATATCGATTACTCAACATCTAGATTATTCTAAAATAAGATCACAACTTTTCGTCGCTTGTTTTCAAAAGAGTCATTGAAGATTCAGCGCTGTGGAATTCAGTTGACCATCACTCAAATGCCGGATATTATTAATCGAGTTTTCTTACTAATTTTAGAACCTTAAAATAACTTCAATCTCTGATACTTATGTAAAAATCGTATCCAAAACATGTTCTATTTTAGTTGGCCAAACAAGTAATAAACACTACGCATTATGACTCGCACAACTACGCTGCTCTATCTCCAACGACTCGAGAAGATATTTTTGATGTGTAAACTAGCCTATAAAGCTATCTAGCATTATGAATTGTTGGAAAAACAAATGTTATAAGTAGATTGGAAAAACATTCAACCCTTAGTGGCCATAAATGCAATTTTGATAACATTTGCAATTTTTTTTTCTTGCACATATTATTTCAATATATTATTTTATGTGACCAATGATTATTAGTTCTGGAACTTATTAAAAGTGGCAATACTATGTTTAGTACCTCAAGTATACAATTTCTTAAATTTTTTTACATTTCAAATTTTGCATAAATATTTTTTCTGTTCTTTTTTTTAATTTTCTGAAATAAACTGATATAAGTGGTAATAGCTCTATATTCAGGATATATGGCTAAATATGGCATTTTTAAAATTATTTGTCAGAAATACTAATAAACGTTTATTTTTAGCATTTTATGAATATATATTTCATTCCTCATTGCAGTTTTTTTCTTTTTAAAATTCAATGTTAAATTTTGATATTAGATTTTGATATTATATATAATATATATATATATATATATATATATATGTATATGTGTGTATTAATTACTGTTTGTTGTTCATCTTAATTTAGTTGCTTATATATTTAGACATTATTATCTATTCTTTATTTATTTCACTCTCAGTAAAAATGCAAATATGTTTAAAATAACTAAAAGATAAAAAATGATAAATAAAAAAATATATCAATTATTGATCTAATAAAAGCTTTATCGCTCAAATATGAACGTAGCCTTGACAGGAATTTTCCTATCAAGTTGTAGCTTTTTCTGAAAGTAAAATTGTTTTTGTGGTGTGTGCTCTAGGAAAAACGTGAGTTGCTTAGAAGTGTATGCATTGTCCGATAGTGAAGCACGTCTAACCGCTAATTACATTTTTTAACATCTCTATATTGTAGGTATGAAGGTTCTATTTAATTTTGTATGTTTATACACTGAAGGTCTTTTAGAAGATGTTGTGCCTCTGATTTAAATAAACAATCCTATTTCTATTACGCGCAATAGACAGGTTATGAGTGTATTACACATACAATTACAAACCAACTTAGCATATTCCGTGAAGGCATGTATATATATATAAATTATATATAATATATATTTGAATGATTCAAAATACTTTTTGCTTGTGTTGACGAAACGAATGTTTTTGGGAGAAGCAAAGCCTTTTTTTTTCTTTTTTGCTAAAATTCTAGAGCTCACTTATATACTTCAAATTATTAATTTTAACGTTGCAATTCAGTTTATATTTCTTAGAAATATGAGATAAGATTCTTTATTCTCTCTCCCCTTCGAAGAAGATCGTTAAGTTTTGTTTATTTATTTTTCATGTAAACTTATATGAACATTATCGTTCAATTTATAAGTTCTTATATTTTGTCTATAACATACAAATAATGAAAATTGCAGTATTTATAATAATACATTTGAAAAAATTACGGTATGGGAAGTTCCAGCAATTTGCATTGGCACGATGCCATACAGTACTAGTTTGAACTTATAATGGCGAGAATGTTAAGGTCAATTATTTTTATGCATTTAATTATAGTTTTGTTAATTGTAGATATAATATTTATATGGTAATATGTTCCTACTTGTTATGTAATTGTAGCAATATTCAATGCTATAACGTCATTGACAAATCAATTGTAAACGCGTTACTTTAGTGGAAATAAATGACCCAGTGTCTTGTTATGATATTCTACATAGGCACGAGTGGAGCACACGGGCACACGGGCACACGGGCACACGGGCACAGGGGCACACGAGCACGCTGGCTCACAAACACAGCAGCAAGAGAGCAGCAGCGGCAGCGGCAGCAGCGCGAACACAACGAAAGAGTGTATTGATGCAAACGGTACAGGGGCAGGCAGCGCGAGACCTATATTTGAAACAGAATCAATAATTCGTATCTGGTAGGTTTTCGTTGTACATTGTGTACTAGCGTGGCGCACGGACACACAGACGAGGCGGCACATAAGCGGCACATGAGCGGCACGCGGCAAAGCGGCAAAGCGGCACAGCCAACAGCCAACAGCCAACAGCCGAGGATCGCGAGCATCCCAGGACCAGCGGAGACCGCGCGGTTGTGTAAGTGTCAGCGCGTAGCAGCGACGAGCGACGGACGAGGCCGAACATCGATTCGCCAGCGTAGCTCGGGCCACCTACTACACTAACACAGTGCGATATTTCGATATTCAGACTTCAGACTTGTATTTGCACTCGTTTTATTAACATCGCGTAGGGAGTTCTCGGATCGGAGTAGTGTTCCAGTGACAGATTTAAACATCTTGCCAGTGTCATTACATAATAAGTGTCGCAAATAGTATTAAATTTTACAAAAAATCAGTGATAACCACTTTCCTATCAGTGCTATTCGACAATCCGGATCGAATAAATATATTTTTTCAAATCTAACAAATTCTCAAAAGTGTGTTTCAATTACAAAAATTGGATCAAATTACCCGAATACACGGTATGTAATTATTTTGTTTGATAAACTTTAAAAATGTTTAAACCGTTTCGTTTAGAATTTTTCACGTGGGTTTGTTCCGCATGGAAAATATCTAAAAAAAAAACAAATTAAAGAGCATATAGTTAAGCCCAATGCCCGAATGTACATTATGTATGATGCAGATTTATAAAAGCAGTTTTGTACAAAATCCGACATAGGCACATGATCGATTTATTCACACGAGCATTGAGTACTGGACCACATGACACATGTTTTGAAGTATCGTTGCAACAAAATTGGCAAGGCTTATCATGTAGTATAATATGTGACCTTGACACAGCATTACGTCAAATCCCTAGTCCCGCTACGCTTTATTTTAGTAACATAATTAGTTTACATTAGGTAATTGCAATACAATAAGAATTACATACGTTATTAAATACGCACATTAAACTGTTTATGCGTAATATACGTTTTATATGGATGGGACCAGTCATGTGATGCACATGGTCGTTGTTACACAATCTCCAAGTGATCATTGTTAATGTTTTTGCATTGAATACTGATTTTTATCAAAAGCTCATTTCTATATTTCTTGTCACATGTTGATATTGATATTAAGTGAAACAATATTTATTAACATCTCGTAGGGTAAGTTATAGTAATCGCAAAAAAAATGAAAATGTATATTTTTATATATCTTTACGGTTCAAATATTTCTGAACATTTTGGCATACCTTAGAAAAAATGAATTTATGTGTGTGTTTGTATGTATGTGTGTGCGGATTCAAATTTTCGTCGACAATTTCGGGAACATGGATCCGATTTGAATGATTCAAAAAAACATTCGGTTTCTATCGACAAGGACACGTGCTTATTTGTTTTCCGCTAAGGCAGGTCTAGCCGTTTCGAAGATACGGGACAAAATTGATCATTAGACATATACACATCAAATTACCAGATATTTTATAGAGATTAGAGTACCAAGGCACGGAAAGTTTAAGCAATCAATGTTCCTTAATACACGATGCCATGCACCACTAGATTACTTTTATATAATTTACACATGTATTAAAACTATAATAATAACAATTTTTGTTATACTAGTTGTTTTCTTAAAATATAATGATCCAAATTTTCCACGTATTTGCACGGTAATCAAATAAATCTGTTTTCAATCGTCATACGGCTACATACGTACAAAAAGTGCAAAATGATTCAGTCGCTTATTATCTTCCTTTATAATGTTCTAATTCTTGAGGTAAAAACAATAAGACATCACCATATTGCTGAAAAAGTTGGCACTCTTCGAGCGCACAGTATTTTTATTAATATACCCCATAAAAAATTATTCGTATTTGTAATACTTCTGCGGATTTGTATATATGTAATATGTCGCTTTGCCAACATTTTTCGATGCAGAAGCGGCGTTTGGATAAGCATTTATTTCCAATTTGAAATATATTTTTTTTCAATTTTTAATGTGTACATGTGTTTAAATTTATTGATGGTCTTGAAATATTGAGGAACCGCTAATTTTTTGTATAGTTCAAATGATGGGCACAAATGTAATTGTATTAATTTAGATTCTTCTTCAACAATAATTTGGAAAATAAAAACAGGATGAAAGTAAATAAATGTGGTAGTAAATAGGCGTATTAATAATATGTTTCTTATTTTATATTTTTCAAATACTTTTCAATAACAAGGGGGATTAAAATAGCAGAATACTTTAATATAAATTTACTTAAGTTCTGTAGAGTAAAGATCATTAAGGATTTTTTGTACAGTTATTAACTTACTGCATTCAAGAGTATAACAAAGCTAATTAATTATTTTGAATTGTTTGATAAAGCTTTTCTTCTTACAATTAGACTCTAATGCAGTGAATTATAATTTGTATCATTAATGAAATGATACGAAATCAGTGCACTTACAATTAATTTTACCTTCATTTTGCTTTTTTATTTAGTTCCTTTTGATTGCGCAAAAGTTGTGATTTATTCAATGATTTTATAACCTTGTATTGCAATATATTGTATATTGTGTATTCTGAATTTGATGTTGACATATGTATTAACAAAGTCTAATAATCGGGCATAACATCAATAAAAAACATGAATTTCTTTCAAAAATTTATTTTAAATCCATAGGTTTCGGCTATAATCCTAGCCTTCATTCAGTGGAAAAATTAGTTGATCTTAGCGTTAAATTGGAAAATTTTAATAATCCATGGTATCAGGATATGGCAATGCACTACACTATGTATTATAAACATTAACTTGAAATTACACAATATTTTCACAAAATACTAATTTTAACAAATGGATAGTGTGTTATTCGTAGACTGGTTGAAGATGTATTTTTTAAAATTAGTATTTTGTGAAAATATTGTGTAATTTCAAGTGAATGTTCATAATACATAGTGTAGTGCATTGCCATATCCTGATACCATAGATTATTGAAATTTTCCAATTTAACACAAAGATCAACTAATTTTTCCACTGAATGAAGGCTAGGATTCAAAAAATTTTTAAGGATCAGTGTAATAATAGACATGATCTGAAATAATCTTGACTATAATTTTGCTTTAGTATCAATTAAATTTAACAAAAATCGATCGTACAAATTTTAGAGCGGCGTAATATAATGGTAGAGTCGGTAGAGTTTATTATTGACCTATATTCCAATTCACGAGCGTAAAATTTTTGCTATGTGTTTTATGCCGCGGTGATATTTATATGAGGATGTAGATATAGATATAATCAGATAAGATAAAGCGACCTAACTGTGGCAGGTTGTTCATACCAGACCAGACTGATATACATATCTACATAGGCATCTACACACATACAGACTCAAACACACACACACACACACACACACACACATATATATATATATATATATATATATATATATATATATACTAGCTGACCCGGCAAACGTTGTTTTGCTAAGTAAGGTATATTCTAAACAATTTCTAGAGAATCAAAAATATTAATACTTTGAGTATATAAGGATGTGTTGTTTGATTGCTATAAACCCCATTAGTTTGTCTATATTTCATCAATACAATCAAACTGGAAGTTTTATACACTTTCTACAGAAAACATGGTATAATCAAATCCAAGTCATTTTCGGTCTTTCGACTTATTGATTACGTTTCAAGTTTTTCAGATTCTTTTTTGATTCAGGATTTTGTGTATAATTGTAAATAATACTACTGAGCTTATACAAAATTTTCAAATTACTGCGAGGAGAGAGGAGAGGTAGAAAATGAATTAAGTATTTCTTCTTTGACCTGCTTTTTGAAAAGTTTCAAGTAACATTCGATGAATTGAAGTAAATTTAATAAAAAGTATATATGTAGAGCAGAGCGAGGCACAAAGGTCCAATTTGACTTTGAGCAAATATAAACTATATTATGAAAAGTAAATCAATTATATCACAACAAATAACACATTTCAAACGAACAATTATCTGACTACGTTCAGTAAAACTGCCAGCTACTTCATAATTGTAGAAATGTGCTTTTTTGCTGTCTTTCAAAAAATTGTTATCTAGACCTTTTTACCCCATAGACAGGGTAACTTGGAACGGCCAGGTGGCAAACAGGTTTAATGTCTTATTTTAATTTTAAAGGTGTTTTACAAAATAATTACACTTTTAACTAATGCCAAAAAACTACCAACGGAAGAAAATACTTTTATTATGGATTTTCAAAGATTACAGTTTATCTCCAGATAGCAAAGTCATAAGAATCAAGGTAATAGGTGGTTATACATCTTTTTCCTTTTACTTTTCAATTCCTTGTCAAACAATGCTTAACTTTACTGATTTTTGACACATCGGTGGTGGACTTTTTTTCTAGGAAATTATAACTGGGAAAATATTATTCGACAAAATGTCTCTTTGATCGATACCAAATTTAGGTTCTGAATTTAAATAACATAAATAAAAATTAATATAACCTAAACAATGTTTTATAAATACCAATGAGTATATAATTATACAAATGAGATCTTTCAGAGCACCGTGTTTGAGAAAAATATGCCAAAAATTGAATTTTCATATTAACATTTCAAAAAAGTTGATATTCTGAGTCTCTAGTAACACTTGCGGCCCGTTTACTAACGTTTTTGTATATAAATAAAACTACAAACAAAACTACTTACTACAATTTAATCATAAATACATAATATTCACGTAAAACATCCTATTAAATGTAATTAAACATCATCTGTCAAAAACGTTTGACATTTCACTTATTAGCCACCGTCCATTGTTTTATTCAAGATACGCTTCTATAAAAAATTTTAAATTAAAAATGTAAAGTTTCTACAAAATTTTGAAATAATATCTCACCTTTCCGACCACCTACTGATTAGCACGAATTTTTCAAGACTAAGACTGGCCAAATCGATTCAGCCGTTTTAGAGTTTTACTTGGACATTTGAAACAGAGCTCCATTTTTATATATAAGATATATAGATATATTCTGAATTGAATAGTCTTGAGTTTTTTTATTTCAGTTTAAAAGTCGGGCGTTACATCAATAAAAAATAGTATGATAGTTAATTAGTATAGAGATAGAGTATGTAACATCACAAATAGAGTAACATCACGATTGGCAAATCACACAAATAAACATAACTTTTAATAAGTTGTCGAAACTATGTATTGACTATTCGCAGTCTAGGATAGAAATGTCACGTTTTTTCTTAAAGCAGTTCTTAACACATGTTCAAATTTTACAAGAAAAGATAAAATCCCATCGTTTTTCTAATTTCTTGTAAAAATGTATATCGATTTCTTATTATAAACTATCGCCACTAAATAAGATTTACTACGATAACATACATAGTTTATAAATTTTCCGAAGGTGAAGTGCTGATTTAGCGCATCAATGGTCAACTAGCTAAGCATTATGCGCGACGATTCGATTACAAAAAGACGAATTTGTTTTCTGCTTCTTCAAGCCAAAATATTTATAACAATCCAAAATGATTTTTGAATGC